GGAGTCACATTCCAGCTCCATTGTGAGACACCCTTCAAAAGACAGACAAACTAGCAAACTTCCTAACTGGAGATTGAACACAATTTAGGGCTTCTTTTAAACCCATAGTCTCCAGTTAAAAGCTTGTGTGTTTTCCCCAGGTCACATTGCTTGAATAGAAATAGCCTGAAATAGCCATGTATGGATAATTCCTTTATCCAATTGCTTAACTATATCCAAAAGTAGAAGCCTGCTAAAAATACTGGAAATGATCTAAGAGAGAGAGGAAAGCATATGTGAATGTATTAAAAGTAGCTTGTGTGCCAGAGTTCTCACTTCTGATCTCTATCTATCGACCGTCCCCTTGCTGGAAATGAGTGTGTGGGTGCCACATAAGGAGAGGGTGGGGCTCAGCTGTGACACCACCCTGTGGTCAAATATCCTAACGACCCTGACTGCCAAGGCTCACACAAGAATATAATGGTCACTTGGTCAGTCCCAGAGTGCAGCCTGAGCCCATTGAATTTGTACTTTACAGAAGGTAAAATAAGTGAAATGCCTTCAAGTGAAGAAAGAAAATTGGTGGAGAAGCAGGAAGATGAGAAAAAAAGTAACTCTGAAACAGAAGCTGTCTAGCCTAATCCCTGAGCTTTCAAAGAAATTGGAAAAAAGAAAATATCACAAAAATCCTGATGAACTGTAACATTTATAAATGATTGTGGTATACCTAGTTGGTCTCTACATTTTGAAGGTTTAATTTTTACTTATAAGTACAGTATTACAGGACTCGGGAGGTCCCACTAAAACTGGAGACTGGAATGAAAGTGAAGAAAAGTGATGGCCAAGTTAATAAGAAAGTAAAATATGAATAAAATCATATAATAGGCAAGAGGAAATGTAGGAAGTCAAATAAATAACACCAGAGAGAAAGGAATGCTTGAGCAAGAGAGAGAGAGAAGCAGGCTTGTAGATTATAAGATAGAGTGGAAAGAGTAATGAACATAAATAGTTAGAAGTTTTGACTTAATTTCCATATATTTGGTGCGTGGTGCTCATTTGCAGCCACGGTTTGCCCTCCTGGGTGTTTTGTGTAAGTTTCTCTCTCGCTCTCTCCAAAACCATGAAACTGTGACTGTACAGGTATAGTATTAATGAGTATTGATAGTATTATTCAAATGTTATTGAGCTGAATACCACTCTTGTGTTTCATTCAGATGTTTTTAAAATGAGAGATGGATACATACTTGGGAGGTAAGGATATTAAGGAACATGGGGAGAATTTGGGTTTAAAAATCTGCTATGATCTTACAATATGGTTGTTTTTTCACCTCACCACCAGCTTGGGCTTCCAGTGGGTTCTGTGAAGAGATTTGAGACGTCCTCCTGATGAGAAAGGTGCTACATCAATGTAAAATTGACGGGGTAGTTGTTGATGGAGCAGGCTATTATGTGCTTAAACTTTGTAAGTGAGATTGCCATTATTTAGCAACCGTGAAACAATATTCAACAATGAAATCCAATCACCTGCTATTTTCTGCTTCTGAGCACAAGGCTATTGGAGGAAGTCGCTGGCCGACAGCAAGTTTTCTCTTGCATCCTTTTGGCCAATTCATGCTCGCAACAGATCCTGCTGAGCTTTTCACACTCTTCACAAGTTTGACATCTTCATCATGATAATGGTTCCCACGCTCTGTTTGAGACCTGCCTGGCAACTTTGTTCCTACCTTAATTTACAGGAAAGTATCATCAATTTAGGACAGCACACAGTCTGGAATGTATTCTAAGGCTGTAACACATAGCTGAGTTTCTGATTATGTCAATCATAAACCACAGAATGGTTCATCTATCATCTAACTCAGCACTAAGATATGTCACTGCTTTGGAACAACAACAACTTGCGTTTAAATAGCAGCCTTCACGCCGGATGGTGTCTCGGAGGGCTTCATAGAATTATACAGCATAGAAGGAGCCCATTCGGCTTATTAAGTCTGTGCTGGCTCTTTTAAAAGACCTTTCCGAATCAATCTCAGTCCCCCGCGCTCTCCCCATAGCCCTGCAAACTTGTCCTCCCCAAATAATTATCTACTTCTCTCTTAAAGGTTGTTATTCAAATCAGCTTCCACCACTCATTTAGGCAATGCATTCCAGATCCGAACCACTCGCTGTGTGAAAAAAGTTCTCCTCACCTCCCCGCTGTTTCTTTTAAAAACTATTATAAATCAGTGTCCTTGGGTTACCACTCCACCCGCCATTGGAAATAGTTTCTCCTTGTTCACCCTATCGTATTCCCTCATAATTTTGAAAACTTTGATTAAGTCTCCTCTTAACCTTCTCTGCTCCAAGGATAGAGAATAATTCTAGCTTCTCTAGCCTCTCCTCATAACTGAAGTTCCTCATTCCTGGTACCATTCTGGTAAATCTCCTTTGCACCCTCTCCAATGCCTTGACATTTTTCCTAAAGTATGGTGCCCAGAACTGAGCACAGTACTCTAGCTGAGTATTTAATTTTAACAAATATCGTTGACACTGACTGTTGCATTTGTGTGTTGCACAATTCCATCAGGAGTGACAGAGACATGTTTTACTGGCTTTCACATATTAAATAGTATCTATTTGGCATCATGGAAATTATATTTTACAGAAAGAAAAACAAATGTGTTTTGAATCAGAATCACTCCGTCCCAGCCACACAACCCAAGTATAGCTACTCACCTGACAAACATAACAACTGCTCAATTTATTTTCTTTCAAAATGACTGTACCTTGCAATGTTTAGGTGAGGTTGACTTGGAAATCTGCTCCAAAACTGACACGGGACATGGGCTTGCGGATAAAGTCTCTCCATCACCATCCCAGTCACTGCTTTTGTAATTTTTAAAGGTTGAATCTTCTGTTGAATTTTGTAGAGGTTTCCTGCTGAATAGATTTAATAAATAAAAACATTTTAAAACATTTTTAAAAAATATTTATTTTTCAGCTTGAGTTACTTTGTGTTCAAAAACATTCATAGTTGCTCAAATTTACATGTAAAATGTATTTGTAGAATTATTTTTTTTCTTTACACTGCAACAGGCAGTCTTGTTAACAAATGGACTAAACTGGAAAGTACAAACCTGTCCGTGTGGGTTTCAGACACATTCCCTGTTCGTCTTCCCATATTCTTTTCAACATCTCCCATATTATTCCTCTTCTTGTAGCCCCTGAAATTAACAGAGTAACAGAAGGTCCAGAGGTTTGTTTTTATACAATGTGCAACTGTTGACAAAACATCCTGGGAGCAAACTAAAATGTTATCCGATGTACTATGCAAACATTAGGTACTGTGTAACATTTTTAATTATTCCCTCATTGAACTTTTCTGATAATAATCTACGTAACACAAAATCCATGTACTGTATTTCATATAACTGTCTTTTTGAATCAATTGGTATTTCAGAGAAAGGTGTTACATTTCATAGGAACTCCGATTTGGATTCAAACAATTGGTATTTTGAAACACTTGATGGAACTGAATGTTGCATTTTGTCAAGTAGTTATAACACTTCTGGAGAATTAGAAAGGTGCAATATACCATGTATCATTTTACTTGCATTTATATTTTTACTTGTTTTCTTCAGTTGTTAAGAGTGCTACACATGGTTTCATTCTAAAACAAAAGCAAGCATAATGATGCAAATGTTGCCAATCATTGCTCAAATCGTTTTTTTAATTAATAAATGCAGTATGTTTGTTCAATTATTTTTCTAATTTTCTCCCCCCGGCACAAGTCTCTTTGCTCCTGTAACTGGGCCTCTTCTCTCTGGGTACAGCTCTCTCTGGGTGTTGGCTGTGCTTCGGAACCCCCAACACCCACCCCCTCCCCAATGGCTTGGAATAGGAACCAGTGAACCCCTGGTCTGTGAGTTGCAGCTCCATATATTAGAGCCTCTCCTAAAGTGCTTTTGACAAAGCTTCCAGTGAGTATATTTTGATGTTGCAGTAACTATATTAATGGCCCGTGACTTTCATACTAGGTAAACATAACAGTGGAATGCTTTTTACCTTATGATCAAAGGGAGACTTCTGGGTATAGAGTAACTGGTCCTATGCCATTGAACTCCGTTCCATTTAAGGGTTCTCTTTCTTTCCATAATAAACCCGACAAGGCTGGAAAACGGCACTTTGCTTTCTTGTGCACCATCTCCTTCAATGATTGCACACTTGAGTTTTGGAAGCTGTGCAACTGAAGTTTGTACATTTGACCTTGCTTCTGAAACACCGCCAAGTTGATGTTCTGTTGTGGCCAACAAGTCATTTAAAATGATGTAATTTAATTTAATCTCGAAGACGTGATAAGGCAGTATATCAAATGCAAGGATTATCATTATTATTTAATGCCATATCTGAGTTTATCAATTGTTTTTTGAAACTATACCTTAGCATTATAGAATACTCAAGGAGGCCATTTGATGCTTCAAGTCAGCTCTGGCATTTTATTAATAGCCAGTATGGTTTTCCAGTTACAATATGAAAATATTATAATATATCATAATATCTATATTTTTAACAGCATTTCCTCACTGTTTCTCCATTTTTCTTAATAATGCCTTATTTCCTAAGTATCTACCTACTTACCTTAACCATCTAGCCAACTATCCCAAACTCTACAACCTGTGTCCTCTCCCTATCAGGTTCGACAAGCCTATCAACCCCATCTTAGCTCCTCAGTCCCCGGGGGATCAAGTTCAAGATCTTCATTGTCACCTGCAAACCCTTCACATTCACTTCCCACTCTTCCTCCGCACTTCCTTCAATCCCACTGACCTGGATCCCATAATTACTCTGCTTTGTAGATATTGTATATGCCTGCAAACCAATTCAGAACTACATATTATGTACATAAACTACATAAACCAATTCTGTTACTCATACCAATTGATTTTCACCATCCAACCGTCCAAGACGCTATTCTATGTGAAGGCCTCTATATAAATACAAGTTGTTGTATTTTACAGATACTATTTCCATAAGTGTTTATCTTACTTGTTATTGTCCTCAGTACGTGCTGTGATTTTAATGATTGCTTTGTAACATGATTCTGAAATACAAAACATTTTGCAATTTGAAGTTTTCTCACCATTCATTCTAAGTATACATTAGAAAAGCATTCAAATATAGATTAAAGGTACTGGTATAATATATGGTACATATATAACTAGCGCTACATTATTATCCCTCCAAAGTGGAGTCCTGTAGCTCAGTGGTTAGAGCACTCGCTTTGCAAGTGAGAGACCTGAGTTCAATTCCAGGCAGGGTGAAACCTTGGGCAAGTTTCCTTACCCCACACGCCTAATAATAATCCCTCAAAAAAAAGCAATAATAAATTGGTCATTTTCAATCTACGACTGTTTGTGGGACATTGCTGTGCGCAATTGGCTGCCTCGTTCGCCCACATACAGTCAATTCACTTTACAATGTTCTGTGAAGCGCTTTGGGATGTCCTCCCGACGTGAAAAGCGCTATATCAAATGCAAGGATTATTATTATTATAAAGTGATATTTAAGAAATTTTCCAGTATCACATAGGACCAGCATTTTACTGTGAACATGAAGCCTGACACTAACAGTCAACTGACTTCTCTTCATCATGTTACTCACTGAATTTATATTAAGAGCACGTTAAATTGCAAGTGATATTTACAATATTTAGATCATTCAAAAAAGGACACTTCCTCTGAATCATTGACACACAATAATAAATTCTTTGTAGGATAATCACAGGAATCATTCCTTATTCTCATCTATTCAATAGGAAGATCCAAATGACTTTTTGTTCGTTTCCATATTAATACTGTACACTGACACTTACAGACAGCTCTCTCTGAAGTCTTTGTTCAATTACATCTATTAATTTGGTCTTGTGCAGACTCCCCATGGTCCAACTTTATTTCAGTCTTTTCCTGAAGCAATCAAAGAGCGCATGAAAAATCAGTGTTGCAGCATACAAACAGGGTAAAATGTCAGTGTTGAGTGACAAAACAGTGCAGCATACTTTAGCTGGATTATTTCTGTAGGGTCGGGGAATATCAATTCAATCTTTCAAGTTATATATTTGGATGACAACCCGCAATAGGATAGGTGTTGATGTTTTGTGGAGAGGAGCAGGCTTGATAAGCCCAATGATTTTTTTTTATATGACATGTTCTTAATCCAAAAGAGAAAGAAAGGCCAAACTTACACTTTTATACCATTTGAAATGTGAATAGTAACACAGAATCTTAAATTCCAGCTGAACTCCTCAGCTTAATATCTCATCGATCTATCACATGGCCATCAGCACGATCTCCCACAAACTGTATACTGAAAACGAAACCAAAATATTATTATGAAGCATAAAGTAGAAGCATTCTGAAGATATTAAGGGTAGTTAATACTTTGCAAAAGGTTATTTACATTATGAGTGTTCATCTTGACAGAGACTCACGCTACAACACATATTAATTGACAATGTAAATGAATGAATGATTAATAAAAACATTCAATTATTTACCTATCCTGACGAATGTAATCCTGCAAGTTGAATTGTGTTAGCATTTATAAATTGTTCCAAAACACGGTTTAGTGCAGATAAGACAAAGAAAACAATCCTGTTCATTAGAGCAATGCACAACAGCTTGCATAAATGTGTTAGTGTTGAGCCTTCTTAGCCAACAATTCATTTAAGTTTAAAACAATGATGGAAAATAAGGTCCATGGGGCGTTTACTGAGTAATATTGAATTTCAAAATTATTATTATAATAATAACAATAAACCTTGCATTTGATATAGCGTTTTTCACGTTGGGAGGACGTCCCAAAGCGCTTCACAGAACACACTGTAAAGTGAATTGACTGTATATTTGTGGGTGAACGCAGCAGCCAATTGCGCACAGCAATGTCCCACAAACAATCATAGATCAAAAATGAGCAATTTATTATTGTTTTAGCCAGTGGGTTTGCATTTAACATTTGCTGTTTACCTCTTAACAGGGGATATGTGGTGTCAAACTTCAGATACTATTTAAAATTGTAAATAAAAACTGGTGCTGGTGTTTGCCGCAAATGAATCGATGCAAATGATCACCTCGCAATTATTTAATTATTAGATATTGATCCCTTAATAGGGAGGGAGGGAGGGGGTGGGGGGGGGGGGGTGGATTTTGTACAAAATACAAACAATGCATACTATGTAGTATTTCTCAGTCATGTTAAAGTACCTGCAAATGTCATTTTCATAGGACAAACCCTGGCGAGGAGGCACAGGACCCCCTGATAAAGAGAGTCGTCGAGTCAGATCGATAGCTGTACAGTTGCACACGATTCTCCAGAGCTCCCTTTCTGCTCTCATACATCACTGGGAGACATGAAAACAGGATCCATTCCCAATCCCACGGGAAGCGGTGCCCTGGGCTCCGGCGACTGAAAGGGCTCCCCTTGTCTGTCAATGATCGCCAGTAATGATCTCCACACCTCTCGGGTTCCCATGGATTCTCAGCGGAGGTCCTGCACAACCCAACAACTCAGCTATCACGCGTTACGAATAAAAGCGCTCACAACACCGTACCAGCGATCGCACTGGAGGTGTTATCGCACTCACACACACAACGCACACTCACACACAACACACACTCACACACAACACACACACACAACACACACACCACACACACAACACTCACATAACACACACTCACACACAACACTCACACAACACACACAACACACTCACACAACACACACACAACACACACTCACACACACAACACTCACACAACACACACTCACACACAACACACATTCACATACACAACACTCACACAACACACACAGACACAAAAAACGAGGAAATTGCTCTACTTTATGTCACGCGCACATTTATAGGAATGTATAGGTTTGCCTTTGGGGTTGTGTGCAGTGCCAAGTGAAGTGTGGTCGTGGGGTTTTACCCTCACCTGGTGAAGTGTGTGTGTGTGTGAGTGTTGGGGGGATTCTACAGCTGAAAATAAACATTATTGACAATGTCCCTCTCCCACTCTTGAGTCTATCCGCTCAGCTCTCCCGGGGAGGGGTGTGTGTGTGTGGTGTGTGTGTGTGGGTGTGTGTGTGTGTGTGGGGGGGGGTGGTGTGTGTGTGGGGGGGATGTGTGTGTGTGGGGGGGGTGTGTGTGTGTGTGGGGGGTGGTGTGTGTGTGTGTGGGGGGGGTGGTGTGTGTGGGTGTGTGTGTGGGGGGGGGTGGGGGGTGTGTGTGTGGGGGGGGGGGTGTGTGTGTGGGTGTGTGTGTGGGGGGGTGTGTGGGTGTGTGTGTGTGTGGGGGGGGGTGTGGGGTGTGTGTGTGTGGGGTGTGTGTGGGGGGGTGTGTGTGTGGGTGTGTGTGTGTGTGGGGTGTGTGTGGTGGGGGGGTGTGGTGTGTGTGGTGTGGGGGTGTGTGTGGTGTGGGGGTGTGTGGTGTGGGTGTGTGTGTGTGGGGGGGGTGTGTGGGTGTGTGTGTGTGTGTGGGGGTGTGTGGGGGTGTGTGTGTGGGGGGTGTGTGTGTATGTGTGGGGTGTGCGTGTGTGGGGGGGAGTGTGTGTGTGTGGGGTGGGTGTGTGTGTGTGTGGGTGTGTGTGGGGGGTGTGGTTGTGTGGGCGCGTGTGATGTGGGTATGTGTGGGGTGTGTGTGTGTGGTGGGGGGGGTGTGTGTGGGGGGTGTGTGTGTGTGGGGTGTGGTGTGGTGTGTGTGTGTGTGTGTGTGTGTGTGGGTGTGTGTGTGGGGGGGGTGTGTGTGTGGTGTGTGTGTGTGTGTGTGGGGGGGGTGTGTGTGTGTGTGGGGGGGGTGGTATGGGGTGGGGGGGGGGGTGTGTGGGTGTGGTGTGTGGGGGTGGGTGTGGAGGTGTGGGGGTGTGTGTGTGTGGGTGTGGGGTGGGTGTGTGTGGGGTGTGGGTGTGTGTGTGTGGGGTGTGTGTGTGGGGGTGTGTGTGTGGGGGGGGTGTGTGTGGGGTGTGTGGGGGTGTGTGTGTGGGGGGTGTGTGTGGGGGTGTGGTGTGTGTGTGTGTGTGGGTGTGTGTGTGTGTGTGTGTGGGGTGTGTGTGGGGGTGTGTGTGGGTGTGTGTGTGGGGGGGGGGGTGTGGGGGGTGGTGGGGTGTTGGGGGGGTTTCGGTTCTTTCGCCTCCGCTGCCCACCAAACACAGTGCCCTCCGGGGCTCCGGAGCCCGAGTCCAGTGCCGCTGACACTCGGCTATTTCCTCTCATCGATACTTCTCCTCAGTGGGAACTCCATATACAGAGACTCGCAACGCAGTCCCAACGCGTTAAGACGCCTTTCCACTTCACCCCCACCCGCTCCCCCCCCCCCACCCGCTCCCCCCCCCACCCTCCACCCCTCCACCCCCACCCCCCCCACCCGCCGGGCGTTCACTTGCCCCTCGTCCCCTCCAGCGCAGTTAGTCTGGCGATGGCTTTACCTCAGTGTTTTCTGGGTGGATGTGGCGAGAGCCCTGCGCGGCCCCGACCGACTGTGGAGACGGGCTCAGTCCCCGGGAGGTCAGACCCCCCCCCCCCCCCCCACGGAGAGGGTGGGGGAAGGTGAGCCGAGAGGACCTCCCGCCGAGACACTGCAGCTCCAGAAACTCGACCTGGAACTCACACACCCAAACCCCCCCCCACCCCCCACCACAACAACAACAAGTTGCATCTATACAGGGCCCCTCAGGCAGGGCAGCACCCCAGAGCGCTTGCCAGCGGCGGAGTATGAGGGTGGGGGGGAGGTGGCCGTAGGCATGGTCCCAAGAGGAAGGTTTTCAGGCACCATCTGAAGATGTAGGAAGGAAGGAAGGAAGGAAGGAAGGGGCAAAGCGGAGGGGTACAGGAAGTGTTCCAGAGTTTCGCGGTGCAGTGGTTGAAAGCGTGGCCACCCGTGTTGGTGTGGAGAGCACGAGGGACACGCAGGAGGGTTGGCGCTAGTTGAGCAGAGGCAGCGAGTAGTGGGTTGGGGGGGTAAGCAGGTCGGAGGTAGGGAGGTGTCAGGGCACAAAGAGATTTGAAGAGGAGTGCGAGATTCTTGGAATGTATCCATTCGACACTCACCCATCTAATACTCACCCTCCAACCACTCACCCTCCAACCACTCACCTCCCCAACAAACCCCCCACTAATTGACCAAACACTCACCCATCCAACATTCAGTCACCCAATACTCATCCTCTAACCCTTGGATATTCCTTGGGTATCAGGGGATATGGAGCAAAGGCAGGTATTTGGAGTTGAGGTACAAGTCATAATCTAATAGAAAGGTGGAACAGGCTTGAGGGACTGAATGGCCTGCTCCTGTTCCTATGTTCCAACTACTCACCCAACACCCACCAAACATTCATTAGCCTCCACTGACAGCTCCAACCGCTTACCTATCAAATATTCACCTTCCAACTCCTAACCACCCAAGCATTCATCCTCCAACCACTCATTGACAGATCCAACCATTTATCTGCTCACTAATTCACCTATAGCTTGTCACTCATCCTCCAATCAATTTTTAAATTGAAAATATTATTTGGGTAGTGACCTCCATTTNAAAAATGGAATTTATGAATACATCAATTCTAGACCTTCATCTATTTGTATAAATCTTCTTTCGTTCCCAATTACCCCCCACCCTAAAAAAAACCCCTCAAATACAAGCATCTTTTAAATGCTTTGAGACACGCTCCCGCCATGAAAGGCACTATTTGAACGTAAATTGTACTGAAAATTTTGATCAACTGTTGTCATTCTGTTTCCAGACTGATCAGCACACACAACAGCTGGATTCCACATTGCTTAGTTTTGAGCCATTATCCTATCCCCACACCAGTAAAGCCATCTTGAGTTTTCTGTCCTATTCAATCATATTGATTTTTTTTGGGGGGGGTCAGCTGGATGTCTAACACATGCGGAAACATCACCATGCTGGAGTATCCAAACCAAACAGTTTCATGCATCCCACCTACATATAGAAATTCCAGAGATACTTATTGGAACAGAATACCATCTCCCTGGAAGGACACAACCTACTTATTTTAGGCACATATTGGCAAGAGCCAAGGCTAGATGGCCCTAGTGTGCCCTAAAACCACATTCATTTGGAGATAATTCTTCATGCTGAGAAGTTTAGATGCTTGAAGGGACATGGAGATAGGAGAGGGTAGTGGGATTGAAAGTGCAGCTTGCTCTGAGAGCTGGTGCAGACTTGATAGGCTAAATGGTCTCCTTCTGTGCTATAATATTACTATGATTGTAAGTTGGAAATACCAAGGTATGATGCAAGGCCTTTGCCAAACCATTTTAATATAATAAATCTCACAAAGCAGAGTTCTTTAACTATTTGTTTAGCAAGCTGAAACAAAAACAGCAGGCAGAGATGAACAAAGTTTTTCTTTTTTTTCTTACAAAAATCACATTTTAACAAGATAAATGGCATGAACTCTGTTGCAGGAAGAAAATCCTAGAGTAAAGCTCAACAGTTATAATCCAAGTTCAGTCAGCACATCACTATCTTTAGTGGATACCTAGTTCACAATCTACTGCTACAATTTCCTTTCCTTTCTAAAATACTGCTGAATTTTATGTGGTATCACAACTGAAATGCTCTGTGTAATTTACACTCATTGTTCACTTTAACTACAAGGACTTTCTCGATTAAACACTAAGAAAGCAACATTAAACGAAAGAAACAAACTTGTAATTTCCATAAAAGTAAAAATTAATGGATAAGTTTGAAGCTTAAAGTACTGATTTTTTTTGCTTGCGTACAGACTGAAATTCCAGTGCATTACATCAAAACAAGAATGAAAGATTCCTCCTTTGGAAGAAAAGATTCAGGTAGTGTCCATCGACTCCAAGTTAGTGGAAGAAGAGTCCTTTTGGATGCTCTCAAAAATGGCTGCCAATTCAGGGTTGGAGCTTATTTGAGATTGGAATTCACTCATAAGTGGACTCTTCTCTGCTTCAGGAATGGTCAGTAGTGCTGCAACTGCCCTCATGGCTGAGCGTTTCAGTTCATCTTGCTTCTCAAACTCCTGCTTCACAGAGTTGGCTTTCACCTGATACAGAACACAATTGCAATAAAACTATTGGATATAAATGGTTTAATTTTACACCTTTTTTTTGCATTTTTATACTGTAGTACCTTTTATTTCCTTAGGATAGCACCACACGAGACAACCAACAGATTTGGCTATCTAAGCTCAACGATATTGTGTATGTTTCATGTATGTCATGCGATGATTTTGAAAAATGTCTAATTGGATGCATTAATTTAAGTCCTTTCCTCCTGATGGCTGACACTATTACTCTCTTCAAAAGTGGATCGTAATTCAGACTTTCTACATAAACAGCACATTTCTAATGTAAAGTAATGTGTCATTGGAGCAGTATTAATGTTACTGTTGTGCCAATCTGAAACTACACCTCAAACGTGTTTAAAAGCTATTGCATAATTTCCTAACCCACATGTTTGTTTAATTTATTGAGAGTTTTACAATATGCCAACAGCAGAGATCAATTCTCAAAAGGGTATGTACAAGCAAATAGCATTCTGATATAATAAGATTAGAAAAAGAGTGTACAGAAACTCTGGTAAATTAACATGTATAACAGTTATACATCCAGGTTCCCCTTTTGTTCCAATAAATATGCACTTAGATAAAGGCAATGCAGAATTGCATACCTTGGTTGTACAGGTAGCCCGCAAAGGTTCCACCAGCCTGTCCAATCGTTGTAGAACTGCACTTGGACAAAGGGTCGAAAGTCGGACTAACATCAGGAAGGTCAGCATCTGTTAAATGTAGAGAAGAAAGTTTGGACATTAAATTACTATTACGTTTTCTGAAGTGCTGTACTAATTACTGTACATTACAACTTTGGGTTTGCTTCGTTGGATGAAGTTGAATGACCAATTTTATTTGGAGGATTGCTGGTGAGGAAACCAGGGGAAACTCCATTCACTTTTCGAATATTACTATGGGATCTTTAACATACAACTAAACAGGCAGAGGGGACTTCGGTTTAACATCTCATCTGAGTGTTTCAATAATGCAACAGACCCCCAGCACCAGACTGGACTGTCAGCCCAGATTATGTGAGTTAAATGTTTAACTCAGAGACGTGACTGCTACTATTTGAACCAGGCTGACACATTGGTAAGCTTTGCAGTTTTAGCTGGTCAAACTCCATCAGTACCCAAACCACATCCCGGGGTCCCCAAGCCTTGGCTCTTACCAACCAAGGCCTAATACTCTCTGGAATTAGGAAAGCAGGGTGCAAACCTCCAGGGAGAGTGCATATTCCATTCCCAACACAGGAATTTTCATTTATAGGTGGCATGCTTGGTACTCTCTTGGATTTGGATACTCTTAAGCATGGTGATGGGTTTCCATGTGTCAAGACAATAATAAGGAGCATGGTCTTAAAATGAAAGGGGGCATACTCTTAAAATTAGAACCATGCCATTTAAAAGTGAAATCAGGAAGCATTTTTTCCACTCAAAGAGTGGTAGAAATCTGGAACGATCTCCCTCAAAAGGCTGTGGATATTGGATCCATCCACATCTTCAAGAGTGAGGTTGAGAAGATTTTTGGTAAGTCAGGGTATCAAGGGATATGGGGAAAAAGCAGGAAATTGGAATTGACAGGAGTAGTTGAGATGCAGATCAGCCATGATCTAATTGAATGGCAGAACAGGCTTGAAGGGCTGAATGGCCTAGTACTGTTCCTATGTTCCCAATACAAATAAAATGTTCTACCATACAACATTCACATTGAATACATGCGGTTTAACATGCAACATGGAACACAGCAAACTAGAAGCACTATTGTCTATGCGGACTCCTTTTAGTCAACATTTTCTTATGCGTAATCACAACTTGATATGAACTTGGTAGGTGGCTTTCAGGGGTGATTTAAAAGATGACTAAACAAACCAAAACCATATCTCATCATAAATGAAATGCTCTACATTCAATATAGTACCTTGATGTCATAATGGTCCTTAAGTCCATCTTCAACGTGGTTTAGGAATTCAAAAATGTCTAGTCTATCAAGACAGCTGTCTAGGAGTGTATACATGCATTCAAAAGCTGCTTTCCTGATATCCAAGCCATCATCCACAGTATGCTTGAATGGTCCCATTTCCACCTAACAATCAAAGGGGAGAATCAAGCAACACCTTGAAACTCATGTTTAAAATGCAGATTTTACAATAAGATGCCAAATAAAGACATTTAGAAGCAAAGACAGATCTTATTAATATATAACAAAGCATACAGACCTCTCTGATCAATTCCTTTCGAACTTTTGTTTCATTATAGAGATGTGGAAGAACAGTATCTAAAAGGTCCCTGATGAGCGATGGTTTATTGTGTGCAGCTGAATTGAAAGTAACTAATGCCACTCTTCTCACATTGAGATCTGGATCTTCCAAAGTTTTCAGGAAATCACCTGAAACAGTCATTTGTGGAAGAAAAAAAATCAATCATTTGTACAGTTTTATTCCTCATTTTAAAATCTCTAAAGTGTTGCATATCATTCCCCAATTTAGGAGAAGCAGACATGTTCCAAGGTACTTCCTAAGTTTCTAGGCATTAATTAAATTTCTAGGTGGTACACAGGAATTTCCATGTGTAAGGGCATGCATGGTTTGGATTGGATACTCAAGCATGGTGATGAGATTCTGCGTGTGCCAGACACCCGGCTGACAAAACGGTAGTGCACAAAAGCAGAATGTAAATGAATCATCTTTAAGCTGTATTTAATTTGATACCTTCATGATCACCGACCAACTGATTTCTGCTCTACGACGACAACAAAATTACATTTGTACAGTGCCTTTCACGTCAGGAGGTGGGGTGGGCGAGGCGGGGCCCGTGCGGGAGAGGACACGGGCTGCAGAGTTCTGAATGATCTGCAGTCTGTGGATGGAAGAGTTGGGGAGGCCAACAAGCAGGGAGTTTGTGTATTGGAGAATGGATGTTATGAACCCACATGAGGGTCTTGGCAGCCTGTGGTGTGGGACAGCGGTGGAGCTGAGTGATGTTGCAGAGGTGGGGAAAGGCGCTGCGGGTCATGGCATGGATGTGAGGTAGAAAGGATAGTTGAAGAGGACGCCGAGGTTCCGTATTGACTCCATGAGATATAGAGTGCATCCATGGAGGGAAATACTGTCAGCGCCGAGGTATGGAGGCCGGGAGTCAAGCAGAAGGGTCTCGGTCTTGTTGACATTCAACTGCAGGAAATTAGCTCCCATCCAGATTTGATGTCCGTCTGTGAGGACAAGCAGTGGTCTTGGAATTGAGGGTGCTCTACCTTTATTCTCGTAACAGAAAGAATGTACAGAAAAAGTAAAGTACTGTACAAGCCTCTGACTCAGAGGCAAGAGTGCTACCAATCAGGCTGACACACTATAAACGTTCTAATCTTTTTATAAAACTTGAGAAACTTCTTATAAAACTACTAACCACTTTTAATATAAAAAAATTCCAAAGGGTGAAAAACAACTTTACCAATGCAGTTCTTCAACAGAGGGTCTATTGGCTGTGGGTGATCAGAAATGGTAAATTTCACAGCTGTAACCACAGAGCTTCGAGCATAGGAAGATCCTGTAAAAAAACAAGAATATTAAAGCATTATCTGGTGTAAAGAAAACTAGCCATACTTTGTTACAACACCATATAAAGTTCATCTATTAACGTTACTGATATTTGTTCCATTGATTTTCAGTTATTAAGTAAAAACACCTTTATCTTCTATTATAGTCATCCATTTGCGAGGGCAAGAATCAAAAGGAAACTGCTTAAATTTGTATTTAAATAATTTAAAACCATGTTGAGGTTCAGGACCAATAATTTCAAATCTCCATTTTATTCATTCCCCCAATCTTCACAATTTTTTTTTCTTACCCACTTTGCTCCTTTAACTTTTTCTAATCATTGGTACATACTTTTCCCTCTCCCCACCCACTGTACCAAACTGCATACTGTGAAAAGCAGTAAATACATGTTTACATCACCAAACAGTGACAGTAACTGGTTACAATACAATGTGATGAAGCTAGATTTTTAATTACAAACTCTGTGAAATGTTATAATTTCCCCTGCAGCAGCAGCTTTTTGATTAAGCAGAGTAAGTTATTAAAACCTTATTTATCATACTGGATTTTACACCAATGATAAAAAACAAATTTTATAAAGACATTATAAGCAAACACCTACCTGACTCCAAGTACCCCTTAAGTCGCGGTAGCAATGTTTCTGGATCTATCAAAGTAAGCTTGCCCAGGCATTCGGCAACAACATTCCGAGTTCCCTCTTCCGCACATTCACAATGTTTCAGCAACAAAGTCCAAATATTTTCTACATATGGTTTAAGGCCTTCAACTGAGGAAGAGCTAATAATTTCTTTCAAGGAGTGCAGGAGGAGGTATTGTCTTCTTGGCTGGCTACTTATTTCTTGCAGAACAAAAGGCAGATACTCAGGAAGGTTCCCAACACTAATGCTTCCAAGGGCATAGGAGGCTGCAGATTTAACCTCTTCACTTGGGGAAGAGAAAGCTTCAAGGATTACAGATTTAAGTTCAGCCTGCCCACTTAAATCAATATGGTGTCCAACCTCTCCAAGCGACAGTAAAGCTAGGAGTCGAATAGAATCAGTTGATCTAGAATTCTTCACATCCTGGATAAACTGTCCAACTACAGCAGGTCCTTCTTTCGGGCAGGCTCGGGTAAGGGCTGCTACACACTTAGCAATTGAGTAATAGGACTGCTTGTGGGTCAATGCATTGCTTTGAGAATAAACTGGACCAGTCAACATACGCAGCAATTCCATGTAACCTAGGTTTGCAGTTCCAGTCCCAACTAGAGCTTGGAAGAAGTCTAGCATTGCACTGAGGGCTCCTCCTTGAAGCAACGGTGACCGTACAAGTCCAATAAGCTCAGTGAGTATAGAACCACTGACCTTTGAAAGGGAAGATGGATGCACTTTGGCTAAGGTGGTAAGAAAGCTTATGGCCATCTGTGACACATGCATATCGCTTTCACTAATAAGAGGTGGGAGTTCCACTAGAACAGCTTCGATCATGGCAGGTGTTAAACTGTCACTGTAGTTCTTTATCACGATATCTAAAGCCAAAAGGGTGCTTAGCTTCAGCGCTCGCTGGTTCTTTCTCAGAAAAGAGGCCAAGATTGGAACTCCTTCACCTAGGACTGGACGTAGATCGATCTTGAGAGAAGATCCAGCAATTAAAGTCAAGGCTTTCACTGTTGTAAGCCTAGTAATTTCATTCTTCAGTCTTTCCAAGAAAATCTGTAGGGTGTTTGGTAAGTCACTGCCTAAATGGTCTCCAAGATTACAAATGATTTGTCCCATACAAGAGATAGCTCGCTCTTTCACTTCTTGATCAATGTCAGCAGCTTTCAAGCGCTTCACTGTACAAGTGAATAAATCCTTAATGTATGGAGCAGCATCAAAAGAACACTGATGATCTACTGGCCGTATCACTTTTACAAGCTGTTGAGTAACCAGAAGAGCTTCTGAAGTGATCTTGTAGAAAGGATCACCGACGCAGGCTACAACAGGCAAGACTAAAACCTCCACATGAGAATGGAAGACCTGAGGTGAGTGATTACACAGGACGACATACAAGCACGAGAGTGCATCAATCTTCAGGTTGGATGAGCTGGATTTATCATTCAATGAAAATATTATTCCTGGAAGAAAAAAATAGAATTGGTTGCAATGGCTCAGTTTAAACATTCTCTTTATATTTTGTCAATATGTTATATCAAAAAAATCCTAGAGAACATTATTTGGCTAGTAGCAATTCTAGCCCATTAGATTAACCCAAAAAAGGCAATTTCAAAGCATCAGTAAAGAACACGTAACTGATTGTAAATATCGGTAGATTAGGCAGTTAATGCATTTACTGACCAAAATAAAGTGTCATTTCCTCACTTTTAAAGCTCTACCTTGACAAACTACACATTACCTTCTGTAAAAAATGATACAAGATACGTTCCGTCAAAATTCTATCCAATTCAAGCAGAAAATACACAGGATAGATTTAAAAGCATGCATTAGAAAACAGTTAGAAATAGAAAACTAGAACTACTTCAATTACCCGGCACAAGAACTGGCACATGCTGCGTTAAAGCCCCAGGCAACACATTCACCAGTTCAGTCAGCATGTGAAAGCAGCATTGGCGGGTCTTCACACTTTTCTCCTTCATCTGCTTGTGCAAAGCTTTGACAATGTTGGGAACCTTTTGATTTTAAAAGAAAATAAGTTTGAGTAGAGTTACATTGCTATTCATCATCCCTATGCCTCAAGAGTTACATTTAGATTCAAATAAGATTCTGGAAGTAACGCAAAACATTCAGTAAAGTACTTAGCTTCTTATATACCACCAGGTCTGGGAACATTTCCAAATTCCTTGAAATTAGCCAGGTGGAAACAAATTCACATTTGGTTCACAAAATGCAAAGCTTTTCCGGTCACAGGATGTTCACATTACATACATATCATTTGGTGCTTCACAAGAGTGTAATATTTCATAAATGATTCTTTCCCCTCATTTGGATCAGATTAAGAGAAAACTATTTTGCAAACAATACCTGGTCTTAACATTATGCATTCAGCACGGAATATGAACTAAGCATTAAAACCAAAACTATTTCAGCAGAGCTTTCATTCAGTTCAAGGGATTGAAAAGAAGCTGGATCTAAAAGAGAGACCCCTCTTTTAGATAGCATACAAATGACAAAAGATAGGCAAACTAATTTCAAATCTAATAAAAATCAGTTCTAATAATAGTAATATGAAAACGCATTCAAGCTTACTTGATTCTGAAGCATGGTCAAAGGAGTTTCTTCCTGTTCCATTGCATCTGGGTCAAGATGCCAGCTCTGAGCTGGCCTGGTCTGTTTCAGCAGTGAGAGATATGCATGGAAAACATCTGCTTTAACATTCTCTTCACGTTCCTTAAATCTGGCAATCAGTGCAGGAGACACAGTTTTATAAAACTCTGGTAGCATTTCATGTCGAGTGCTGACCACCCCATCTAAACACTTGGCGGCAGCACGTCGTACCTTCCAGCTCATATCATCGTCATCACTATACTCATCATCACTTCCTACAAACAAGGAATAAATGGGGGGGGGGGGTAGATAATTAAGACTAGAATTCAAACAGGTTACATTTCTCTGTACTAGGAAGTGAGGAAAGAGCATTCCTCCTCTGATCACTTTCCATCGATCCGTACTGAACACGCTTTCAACCACTACCCTCTGAAACACTCTTCCTCTATTCCTCTGCCTGGCCACTTCCTTCCCCTTTTTTAGGTCCCGTTTGAAGACCTTAGTATTTGACCGTGCCCATGGTCACTTCCCCCTTCCCCTGGCTCGGAGTTGTGCTCCGCCACTGCCAATCACTCTGTTATGCTAACCTGTGTAGTGGGCGCCATATATATGCAAGTTGCTGCTGTTGTACCAGGATATAATGAACTTCCTCTCCCCAGTGCATCATTCGCAGTCTGAGTTCATGTATGCAGAATAGTCACTACTGATGGAAGTATACACCCACCACATGTGGGCATCTTCAGGAGAGGGGGAAAATGTTTAGTCAAATGCAACGTTAAAGCAGTTGTGAATGAGATTCTTCCCTTAATTTGGTTAGTCCTCCCTATTCACTAGGGTGAGTGCAATCTTTAAATATTCCGGGTTGTAAACACATTGGGGCATTCAAAATTATATACCTTGATCATCATCATCTCCACCTTCAGATTCCATTGCACTTTCATCCTCATCGTCATCATCGTAATTGTAATTCGGATCATAAGTCAAGTACTTCAGGCACAGGTTAATAACAGTTGTGACGTGAGGAAATACTTCTTTTGGACACCTGCAAAATTATGACAACTGGTAAACGTATCCCAATGAGTGTTGTCATTACTGAGAGTGGCATCTAAAAGATGGTCACTGGGGCTTCTCCTTCCCCCCACATCCCAAAGGCCTAGTGTGACAGTTAAGCATTACAAGCCAGCAGGTTGCAGGTTTATCCTGGTAAGTACTCAGTTAACCAATGAGTCATAATAAACGTCCCTGGCTACAAAGGGAAACACTACATAACATAGCAAGATTGTTACTAATTTAAGATTTGAGATTAAGTACACAAGTATTAAACTGGAATGAAAGATCAGTTAAGAAAAACATTATTTTACAACTAACATTTCTGTCTGCAGTACTTTTTAACACCAAGAAATCCATATACTGTACCTTACCTTCTCACAAAGGATTCAAAGGCTTGAATGCAGTATTCTCTCAATTCGTCATCCTCTACACTACAGAACTTAACGACTAATGGAATGATTTTCTCCAGGTACTCCCCTGAACAACAGACAAGTTGAAAGATTTAGAAATTCCAAAATTTAAGCAGAAAACATTTGAAGGGAAAATAAATGCAGTTTTGCTTTACCTATTCGGTGCCCTGCTTGTCTACTAATAGCTGCAATGCATTGAATATAGGTCCGAGTTGTAGACATAGAATCATTTTTGGCAAGTTCAGCCAATAGATGCTCAATTAGGTCAATGAAAACCAGATTTCCACAGCTCATGACAAGGTGACCAAGAGCGATGATGGTTCTCTTCCGAACAGCTAGCCGTGGACTGGTCAGCTGAGGAAGGAGACAGTTCAGAATAGACGGGTGGAAATTAACCAGCAGACCTCCTTGCCTAATAAAAAGTAAAAAGAATTCCAAAGTTATAACAACTTGTATTTATGTAGCACCTTTTATGTAAAATAAAAAGGTCTTGAAGCACTTGACAAAATATCAGTGAATGGGAATAGAGGTAAATACTGCTATATGAACAAATGCTAAGTCCACATTTAACGAATGGTTTTATATGCTGTAGTTAACTGAGAATTGCAATAGCATAACTACCATTTAATAGTCTGATCGACCATGAATGCAGTTAGCTAACATTAATAGAACTCCAAAAATGTTACTTACTTAAACGTCCCAAGAATTATAAGTTACACTTTATCATCTAATGGCAACTTTCCCTCGTCACCAGTAGGTAAAGAGTACAAATACGAGTGCAGGTTGCACCTTTTAAAGTGCATGGAGTTAAACGCCTACCTGAAATGCATGGTGCTAACACGTGCTAGCTTACCTACCTGCTTAGCATATCTGCCATTATGTCCAGTGCTTCTAACTGAACAGAGACATCTTCTTGTTTGGCTATGGCACTAGTGAGACGTCCTGTTATCTTTTTACAAACATTGGCTGCTAAAGCAGATCCTAGAAAAGAAAACCCAATCTCCATTTAGGTCACTGATAAATTAAAACATTTCTAATATAGTACTAACCTTTTGTCCATAGCTACTGCGTTCCCAGATCAGAAGAACTCAGAGTGCTAAATGCCGAGTCTTAAAAATAAACTTGACTTACTCACCTATGTACAACTAAGTCAAACTACTGTACTAATTTTGACCAGGGGGCAAATATATTCACACACCCTACAAATACACTTAATGCCATTCAGTGTCTTGGCAAAAACAATCTCAAAGTGGATGCCTCACCCCAGAGTTTTACCCACAAAACACACAGTCACTACACTTTACAGTATATCTTGTGAAGCGCTTTGAGGCGACTCAATAATGTGATAAGGCGTTACATCAAATGCAAGGATAATTATTATTTTATTAAATCATTGTGCTTCAAACACTATTTCTATTGCACTGATGATAATTTGGCACTATCTTCAGTATTTTATCAACAGATCATTCTTTAAATGGTGAGAATTCCTTATAGCTTACCACTGGAGGCTGGAGGTAGCTCTCCAATTACAGTTTTCAGTCCAATGCTGGAAATATCTCGTAACTGTTCTTTGTCCGACAGCATGTTAGTACACAGGGTGTCCACAATAGTTTCCACCTGATATTCCTTCACTTTGCTAACCAGTGGACCAAGGCTGAAATATAAATGTTCAACAGACACACTTACAACTGAACATAAAAGCACTAAAAGGCATCAGATACATTTATAAATAATATAAATTGGATGCATTTACTATACTAAAGAAAACCTTTTTCCATCAGGAGTTATGCTGCTGCTATGATACATGGTGTCAAGCCTTCTCTTTCTCTTACCATTTAACAGCCAGATTCTGCACTTCACCATTTTTATCTTCTAACAATTTCAGGATCATCTTCACCACCTTTCGTTCACTGTCATCATCCAACTTAATCGAGTCTTTCTGCAATTCTGTCATCAAGTCATTGGTAGCCATAAACCTGCAAATTACAAATGAAAGGGGATTAATATACAAAACAATTCCAGTTAACTTCTTCAGTGCTGAAGAACTAGTCCAGCTCAAGTACAATTCTGACAATACATTTTTCACTTCATATTCACATCACACATTTAGCCATTATTCCAACAGTATACTCGCAGGATCATCCAGCTTTCTCTCCTCAATCCTCTCGCCCCTGTGCACTATTGGAGTATAGTCCCATTGGCAGTACATTTTCCTAGTTAGCTTTACACAACAATTCAAAGAATGCATCAACAAGCATTGATAACAGAATCAAGTTTAATCTTCCCTTCACTCCAAAACCAACTAAACAAGCTTCCAGCAGTGAATCAATGCATATTGATCAAGAGCAGAAATCCTGGTCCGGGCTGTTTTATTCCCTATCAATCTTGGGGACACTGATGCAGTTACCAATTATTGCCTCTGTTAAGATGAAAACGTAGAGTTAGAAAGCTGTGCGTTCAAATCCCACGTTGGGGACGCCAGTGCAGTGTTGGAGGAGTGCTGTGTTGTCAGAGGTGCAGTCATTTGGATGGAATGTTAAACTGAGATCTCCTCCGATTGTTTTGAGTGGATTTCAAAGAATCCGTAACACAATTCAAAAAGAGAGGAAGTTTCTCGTTAAATCCTTGAATCCACGATCTCGTGATTCAGAGGGGAGAGTCCTACCAATTGAGCCAGGCTGACACCAAGCCTTACCTTGACCTCTTGTATATGTAGAGGCAAAAACAAGTTTAATCTTGCAATGTTTCTGTAGTCAAATATCTTGCTAATGCTTATTGTCTAATTACACACATACATAGAATAAGCTTGATATGGGAGGCTAACCAAGTAGCTCACACCAATCCATTAAAGATCCCAAGCTTAAGAGTCCCGAGACCAAACTACAGAGAATTCCACTTATGTATTGTTTCTCTATACAGGGTATTCACTCCGCTACACTAACCCGTGTGAAGCCCGCTATATAAATAAAGCTGTTGCTGTTGTACATTCTCTCCCCCGATTGACAGTCTGAATTAGGCGCAGTTTGTTTGGCAATATTTAAGCGCTTGGAGTCATCCTCCAGGCTTAAATGTAAATTCTATTGTACCAAAGCTTAGGTATCCCAGAGTGGATGGGAGGGATGGGGGTACTGCTACAGTTCAATCACTGGGTAGTTTTCTGCTGTTCGTCCGGCTAGGATCACCTGTTAATGCTTTCGCTAGCAGAATTAACAGGAGTCGCCTGGGAAGAACTCCTGTCCGCAGTGATCCTCCAAGTCTTGCCGATGACCCAGACTTGGCAGTGACCTGGAGTGCTGTAGGCGCACACGAGGGAAGAGCATGAAGGCAACCCGTAGAGCCAGGCGTGGGGGGGGGGAGGGGGGAATAAAATCTAACGAAGCTCAAAATAAAATGATTCTAGTTGGGTGTGGTTTGGGGGGAGGGGGGGGGTGAAGAAGGGAGCGGACTTCTCAAGGAGCTTTCAACAGGATTTACCATCAACTGCATTGACTGGTGGATTTCGTAGGCATGTGTGGGGTCCAGTTTGTGCACCGCACCGCACCGGCCGCCCAAAACAGCCGTGAAGTGACCCATCAACACAATATAAAAATATTATTATTTACCCCAAGAGCCGGAGTGTGAAAGGCTGTGGCTGATCAAAACTCAGTCTGACCTCAGGCCTCTCTCCACCACCAACCAACCCCCCCCACCACCAACCAACCACCCCCACCACCAACCACCCCCCCCTCCCCACCACCAACCAACCCCACCCACCACCAACCAACCCCACCCACCACCAACCAACCCTCCCCCACCACCAACCAACCCCCCACCACCAACCAACCCCCCTCCCCACCACCAACCAACCCCTCCCCACCACCAACCAACCCCTCCCCACCAACCCAACCCCCTCTCCCCACCACCAACCAACCCTCCCCACCACCAACCAACCCCCTCCCCACCACCAACCAACCCCCCCTCCCCCACCACCAACCAACCCCCCCCCCCCCCCCCCCCCCTCCCCACCACCAACCAACCCCCCCTCCCCACCACCAACCAACCCCCCCCTCCCCAACCAACCCTCCCACCACCAACCAACCCCCCCTCCCCCACCACCAACCAACCCCCCCTCCCCACCACCAACCCCCCACCACACACACACACCTTTCCCGGCTCCCCCGCCCCCCAACCTGCAACCACCCCCCCAACCCTCTCCCCAGGCCTCGGCCTCACCCGCTCCCCAGGCCTCACCCTCTCCCCAGGCCTCACCCGCTCCCCAGGCCCCGGCCTCTCCCTCACCCTCTCCCCAGGCCTCACCCGCTCCCCAGGCCCCGGCCTCTCCCTCACCCGCTCCCCAGGCCTCACCCTCTCCCGCGGCTCCAACCAGGCCTGAGACTAACAAAAAGGTGCCAAGGCAGCGCCTCGAACCGTTTCACAACAGGACCGCGCTCGACAACAGGTCAGGTCCGGGCCTCGGCCTCTCCCCCCCTCATCCCCGACCTCTCTCTCTCTCCCCCTCATCCCCGACCTCTCTCTCTCCCTCATCCCCGGCCTCTCTCTCTCTCCCCCTCATCCCCGGCCTCTCTCTCCCTCATCCTCGGCCTCTCTCCCTCCCTCATCCCCGACCTCTCTCTAACTCCCCCTCATCCCCGACCTCTCTCTCTCCCCCTCATCCCCGGCCTCTCTTCTCCCTCCCCCTCATCCCCGGCCTCTCTCTCTCCCCTCATCCTCGGCCTCTCTCTCCCCCTCATCCCCGGCCTCTCTCCCCCTCATCCCCGGCCTCTCTCTCTCCCTCATCCCCGGCCTCTCTCTCTCCCTCATCCCCGGCCTCTCTCTCCCTCATCCCCGGCCTCTCCCCCCCCTCATCCCCGGCCTCTCTCTCCCTCATCCTCGGCCTCTCTCTCCCTCATCCTCGGCCTCTCTCCCTCATCCCCGGCCTCTCCCCCCTCATCCCCGGCCTCTCTCTCTCCCTCATCCCCGACCTCTCTCTCTCCCTCATCCCCGGCCTCTCTCCCCTCATCCCCGGCCCTCTCTCTCCCCCTCATCCCCGGCCTCTCTGCCCCTCATCCCCGGTCTCTCCCCCCCTCATCCCCGGCCTCTCTCCCCCTCATCCCCGGCCTCTCTCTCCCCCTCATCCCCGGCCTCTCCCCCTCATCCCCGGCCTCTCCCCCCTCATCCCCGGCCTCTCTCTCCCCCTCATCCCCGGCCTCTCTCCCCCTCATCCCCGGCCTCTCTCCCCCTCATCCCCGGCCTCTCTCTCTCTCTCTCTCCCGGTCTCACCTGAAGTCCTTGTCGCTCGAGGTCATCTTCTCCAGGAGGTTGGAGATGTGATACGAGGCGCTCGCCATGGCCGCGGCCGTCAGTCCCGCAGCTCGTGGGAGCCCGGGCCGTGGGGGCGGGGCTCGAGGCGGAGCGCACAGACAGTCCCTCCCTCGGGGGGGGTGTGGGGGGGGGGGGGGGTGTTTATGACTGGGAGTGGGGGGTGGGGCAAGTATCTGTTGCGGGGTGGAGGGGGAGGGGAGGTGTCTGTGCCCGGGGTGGGGTGGGGGTGGGGTGGGGAGCTGGGGTTTGAGGGCTGGGGGTGAGATGGGTATTAGCGGGTGTTGGTGGCTCGTGTTTGGAAGGGGTCGGGCGTCTGCGGCTGAGGTCGGGCGTCTGCGGCTGAGGTCGGGCGTCTGGGGCTGAGGTTGGGCGTCTGAGGCTGGGGTCGGGCGTCTGCGGCTGGGGGCGGGCGTCTGCGGCTGGGGGCGGGCGTCTGCGGCTGGGGGCGGGCGTCTGCGGCTGGGGGCGGGTGGTGGGCGTCTGTGTCTGGGGGCGGGTGGTGGGCGTCTGTGGCTGGGGGCGGGCGTCTGCGGCTGGGGGCGGGCCTCTGCGGCTGGGGGCGGGCGTCTGCGGCTGGGGGCGGGCGTCTGCGGCTGGGGCGGGCGTCTGCGGCTGGGGGCGGGCCTCTGCGGCTGGGGGCGGGCCTCTGCGGCTGGGGGCGGGCCTCTGCGGCTGACGGCGGGCGTCTGCGGCTGGGGGCGGGCGTCTGCGGCTGAGGGCGGGCGTCTGGGGGCTGGCGTCTGTGGCTGGGGGCGGGTGGTGGGCGTCTGTGGCTGGGGGCGGGTGGCAGATGTCTGGCTGGGGGCGGGTGGCGGATGTCTGTGGCTGGGGGCGGATGTCTGTGGCGGGTGGATATCTGTGGCTGGGGGCGGGTGTCTGTGGCTGGGTCGGTGGCGCGTGTCTGTGGCTGGGGGCGGTTGGTGGGTGTCTGCGGGTCACGGGTGCCTGTGGCTAGTGGCTGGGGGCGGGTGGCGGGTGTCTGTAGTGTTATACCAAATTGCAAGGATTATTATTATTATTATAGTCAATAAAAATAATTATTCCCTCCCAAAAAAATCCCTCCAAAACAAAAAACAATAATAAATTATTCATTTTCAATCCACGACTGTATGTGGGACACTGCTGTGCGCAATTGGCTGCCGCGTTCCGCCCACAAATATACGGTCAATTCGCTTTACAGCATATTCTATGAAATCGCTTTGAGACATCTAAAAGATGTGAAAAGCACTATATCAAATGCAAGGATTATTATTATGTAATAATATTATATATTACATATAATAATAATAATAATCCTTGCATTTGATATAGTGCCTTATTACGTCTTCCAGACGTCTCAAAGCGCTTCACAAAAAATACCGTAACTTAGATTGACTGTGCAGTTTGTGGGCAAAACGCGGCTGCCAATTGCGCACAACAGGGTCCCACAAACGATCCACAACTGTTTGTTGGTACACTGCTGTGTGCAATCAATATAGGAACAAATCCTTTTTGTCGAGATTCTTGTTTCCCATAACTGGCATATTGTGCCCCCCACAGCCAATTCTTATTCATCATCTCATATGAAGATTGTTAGTTTGAAACCCATGTCCTCTTGTTCTGTGCTCCTATTCAAACTCACTGGACTGCTTTCATCTGCATCACCTTCCGCTTCTCAACATTTTAAAAAGGCTTGCATCATGTCATTCTCTTGAGATGATTAAACTCCAGCAGTATCCCAACGCACAATCTGGGATTCCCCAAGGCTTAGCTCTTGCCAACCTGTAGCTAATACTCACTGGAATTAGCTAAGTAGGGTGCAACCCTCCAGGGAGAGAGTGCATATTTCATTCCAGACACGGGAATTTCTATGCAAGACATAAATGGACTTCTGTGTGGTTTGGATATTCCTAAGCATGGTGACGGTTTTCCACATGTGTCAGACACCGGCTAACCAAAATGAATCCCAGGAACATTCTTCTGCCACTACACTCTTGAGATCCCTCTTGGTGCTGCAAACTCTTTCTTTCCTCAGAAAACATGCATCAGATTGTGTGACAATTCAATTGTATAGACCAAGCTTAAATCTGGTCTTTGTCTTGTAAGTTAGCTGATCTATGTCAAGCTACCAGTAACAGCAATACAACTAATTAACTTTACAAAAAACAAAATAGAGAGGGTAATAAACAACAACCAGCCTTCCTGCAGCAAAAAGTACATCTGTAGGTACGTCAGGAAATCACTCTCCGATATTCACCATCTAGAATTCTGTATGAAGAGTTGGCATAGTGGCAAGGTGCCAGAGGACAGCTGACATTCAGGCAAACCAGACTCTGGCAAGTGCCAGTGTTTTCAGCCATTGAGAAAGGGATTTGTGGAGCAGGACTTAATATCAAATCAATAGTCTAATATTGAAGTTGCACTACACCTAAACCATTGCTGAACCATGGAAATTACATTAAATCAGCATTAAAAGTATAATATCCAGAACTCTGCAGCCCGTGTCATCTCCCGCACCACACTCCATGACCCTATCACCCCCATCTTCGCCCAACTCCACTGGCTTCTCATCACTCAGAAGATACAGTTCAAGATCCTGGTCCTCACCTTCAAAGCCCTCCATGGTCTTGCTCCCCCCTACCTCTGCGACCTCCTAAACCCCTGCCATCCTGCTCACTCCCTCCGATCAGTGGGCTCCAGCCTGCTTCACGTCCCCTGCCTCGCTCGCCCCACTATTGGCGGGCGGCCTTCTGCCACTCTGCCCCCATCCTGTGGAACTCCATCCCACAGCCCCTCTGCCTCACCCCCTCCCTTGCCTCCTTCAAAATCCATTTCAAGACCCTCCTCTTCCACTGTGCTTTCAATCACCCTGCTTCCCCCCCGCCTTCCACCCTCCCAGATCCCAACCCCCAGCTCGGGTCCGAAACTCTGACTGTCCAACGCCTTGGGACATCCTCCTGACGTGAAACGCGCTATACAAATGTAATTTTGTTGTTGTAATATAAAGTGGACATAAGAAACCTAAGCTAATTTGTACAGATGCCTTTTTCAAAATTCTCATTGTTTTACATCTGTCCAAAATGTGCTATTTTTTCTGGGGTATTATTTCACACACTTCACTGGCCCTCTGATATCTTGCCCAGATGGTCGTTCTTCACATGTAATCCTCAACTTCAAGTGCTGTCAGACTATTTAACCACAGGATATTTCCTCATGTGTCCTTCATCCAAGTGCACTTTCTAGCAGGTCTCTTAATAGTGAGCTGGATTGGAAAATCTGGTTAATTTTCCCCCTAATGAGCCAGAGGTTCTTGAGTCATTGTACCCTGGTTGAATTCAACAATCTAATTACAAACAGGGATGTAAATCTTCCTGATCTGAATTCCTCAATGTTGTAGGAACTATTCAAACTATGAAGCTATTTCTTCCAAATCCAAACTTCACAGTGAATAACAATACTGAAGTTGTACTAAACAGATGTAACGAGCAGGTTGTTTGATTGACTGAAAAGGATTTCAACTCCTTGAGACAGTATTATCAGTTAAATTGCCAAAATGAAAAATACATGAGTTATAGCAATAATCATACTTGCATTTGATAATGGGGATTATCATGTCAGGAGGATGTCTCACAATACTTCACAATGCTTCACATGATTTACAGTAGAGTGTAGTGACTGTGTACTTTGTCAGCAAACAATACCAGAGGGCCACTGGATTGTGTCGGTGAAATAAAGTCAACTGGAGAGTTACAATTTGTGAGAAATACTGCACAATATTATTTCAGATATTTGAAAAATCTTGAAAAAGGATAATAAAAACGAATACATTTGTTATGGTGCCTTATCCCATCATTCTGAAGCACTCTACACAATGAACTGCTTTGAAATGCAGTGAGTTTTTTCCTCAGCAAAATGCAGAAGATATGCTGTACAGGCAATGTCCCAGAGACAGCGATAAGATGAATGTTTAAAATTATTCTTTTTGGATGAATTTGGACAACAAAGAAATAATGGCCAGAATAGCAAGTTAACACATAATAGTGTGTGAGATCTTCAGTGTTCACCTAAATCACCAGATCAAGCAGGCAGGACCTCAGTTTAATGGGCCATCTGGCAGAAGAACAAAAGATATTTGACTGATCGATCAAATTTCCAGAGGTAATGTTTTAGTTGTACTTGTAATGGAGGTAGGATTCACAAGAAAAAAGAAGATATGTGAATGGCAAAAGCAACCTATGAAAAATGTCATTCATTTAAAAAATCAACATTGCCTTGAATTGATTGTATAGTCACTCAAGAGAGACATTTATACCAGCAGAGGCTGGAATGATCATAAGCATATACTGTACTGAAATATTCTATGATATCAATTGTTTCTCTAAAGGGGTTGTGTGTATTTAAAGTCACATTTTTGTGAGATAAATGTCGAAGGTTAGGATTGTGATCTTGTTATTATAGACTGCAGAACTGAACTTTAATTCAGGTGGTAGCTGTCATGCTGTGTTAATTTAATCACAGCTAGTGCTGTGTCAGTGTAATTGTGGTGCTTGTGATGATTTACATTCTGTTGATTCACACTAAGTATTAGTCATTTTTGGAACTGATTGATCTTGAACTGTAGAACCATGCTAGCTCTATAACAATGTTGTGATATGTTACAAATGTAGTTGAAAGGAATATTATAGTTGTGTCACATCCTTGAAGATAACTCTTCTGTTGTATCTTCGAGGTGAGAACTTCCAAGTGAGTTTAAAAATTCTGTAGCAGTGATGCATTTTGCTCACATTGGGAGTTATTCTATGTTCACTGTGTGTAGCCGATCTTTCAATGTAGTGAATAGAATGGGACTTCCTATCGAAAAGCCCATATCAAACGATTGGCTGCACATAGGGACCAAGGCACAATAACCCCATTCAGTAACTGGCTGGGTTAATGTGCTTTCAGTCACATTATAGAATTTGGGGGACTTTGAACTCACACAGTCTAGGCTGATGCTCCAGTGCAGTGTTCAGGAGAACTGTATCTTTAGAGGCGTCGTTCTTCAGATAAGACATTAAACCAAGATCCTGTCTCCCTGTTCTGGTGGATATTAAAGAATAATAAGAAGAATAAGAATACTTGCATTTGATTGAGACGTCGTTGAGAAAGTGCTTCACAGAAATATATTGTAAAGTGGATTGACTGTGTATTTTGTGGGCAAAAAGAACACATGGCATGACTCAAAAAAAGAGAGTTTCTCCTGGTCTTCTGGCCAACAATCTCCCAGATGTCCTCCAACATTATATCAAATAGAAGGATTATTATTAATAACTCTGACTCTTTACATTCAGTGGTTCAGATTCAGGTTTTAGTTTGAGTCTGTGTAGATGTATGTTTGTGTGTGTGGGAGGGGAATTATTAATCTATATGTAGCAAAATTGTTACTTCCTTGTACACTTATAAAGTTGAAGTGACTCCTGTACACTTAATGAGCTCCCATTCTAAGCAGTTCTATCAGAGCGAATGCAGAACACAGGGCAGATGTTTACTGAAAGGGTGGGAAAGAACATTTTTGGGCAGAACACAGTTACCTTCAAGGACCTCCACCGTATTGCTCCCCCCCTACCTCTCCGACATCATAACCCGATATTAGCCTGTCTACGCCCTCCGCTCGGCCGACACCGGCCTACTTCAGGTCCCCCGCATTTCCCGTCCCATCATTGGCAGTCGGGCATTCACCATCTCTGTCCCCACACTCTGGAACTCTATCCTACAATCCCTCCTCCTCACCCACTCTTTTACCGCCTTCAAGCCCTGTCTGAAGACCTTCGTCTTCGGTTGTCCCTTCAGGACCAAAACCCCTGATTGCCCAGCGCCCTGGGACATCTTTCCGACGTGAAGGACACTATACAAGTATAATTTATGTTGTCATTTTTTTATTGTTCATTTTGAAATGTTACAATTTACAGTAACAGAGAGACTTAAAAAAATGAGTTCAGCACAAACAGATTTTTTACTGCATGGAAATAGGCCCTTCAGCCCAACTAGTCAGTCAGGATTAGTCAAACAATAAAGAAAATTGTGCAGTAATAACCTGATTTTCCACATGACAACGCATTAAAAACCCATGACCATTGTTAATAATAATAATCCTTGCATTTCACATCACATCATCGAGATGTCTCAAATAGCTTCACAGGATATACTTTAAAGTAGATTCACTATGTATTTTGTGGTTGAAATGAGGCACTTTGCGCACAGCAATGTTCCACACACAGCCAAGGAGTGACTGATCAATTTTTATTTGGGGATTTTTCACTCCAGTTTCACTCCTCTTTCACTCCAGTTATATATAGAGTGCATAAAAGATTGCAAGGTGAGTTTCCAACTGAAAATAATATTGTCCACACAATGATTTGGATAGGACAGTGAGTGAAACATTTTGTTTTAAAATAAGCTTGGTTAATTTCATGTTTCTCAATTGCCTGGAAGGAAATCCTTTATTTCCCATGAGTTCGCTGTTTGAAATAAATGTTTATTTTAAAGTACTGTAATTTGTTATACTTTATAAAAAATAAAACAATTAGTTTGTTTGGAACATAGCGCAACTGCAAACAGATTCACATTTTTGAGCTCGAAGGCATTTTCGCAAAGAGTTTGTAAAGAAAAAGGGTCAAATCCACTGCCTGCTTTGTTATGTGGCCATTTTGCTTTGCAACATTAGGAGATAATTAATTATTCTATGTGTCAGACCTTCACAATCTGGTGACTTTAGGCATTTCATTATCTTTATTTTTAGCAACCATTTGCCTCCACATTTGGCAGCCAATGTTTGCAGTTTTTTATATATAGAAGCATATTTTAATAATTTAATGAATTGTTTCACCAGGACCTTGAATAGAATGAATAATAATAATAATCCTTGCATTTTGATATAGCGCTTTCCACGTCTTCTAGACATACCAAAGCGCTTCACAGAATATACTGTGAAGTGAATTGACTGCATATTTGTGGGTGAAATGCAGCAGCCAATGCACACAGCAGTGTCCCACAAACAGTCGTGTATTGAAGTGACTGATTTATTGTGATTTTTTATCTTGAGGGATTATTATCAGGCGTGTGAAATAAGGAAACTTGCCCAAGGTTTTGCCTTGCTGGGAATCAAACCCAGGTCTCTTGCTTGTGAGGCGAGTGCCTTACCACTGAGCTACAGGACTCAACTAGTCCTAATAGGATGGGGAATTTGATTTCTTCTGTACCTCTTATTTGAACACCAATTTCTGCCCTTTTACTGCCTGTAGAGAATGACATGAAAACTGTTCTTTGCATTTGTCAGGTGTTTTGGTTATAATAATAGTAATCTTTGCTTTTGATATTGTGC